CTTCAGTTTAATGTGGTTGTAGCCTGAGAGCCATTCAATCCAAACTCCAAACAAAATATAATTAATTAATTAATTAAAAATGGTTCTGCTGGAGGTTTCTTCCTGATTAGCAGGGAGTTTTTCCTCTCCACCGTTTGCTCAGGATGGGAGACTGTGATGAAGTGATTCAACACAATCTGCTGCTTTCTTCTTTACATTGTTCTTTTTATCTACAGTGTCCTGAGACAATTGTGACTTGGCGCWATATAAATAAACTGAATTGAAGTTCTGGACAGTTAGTCAGTACTTGGGTAGACTTTTTACTGAATACTTTGTACTTTTACTTGAGAAAAAACATGTTGAAGTAGTGCTATTCTTACCAGAGTATAATTCCTGTGCTTGTATGCAAATATGATAATTTCTGCCTTATTAGTTCTTTACTTGATGTTAATTTTCATAGTTTATTGTTCCCCTTCAGGAATATTGTTTCCTAATTAATTATTGCTCAAAAGGTCTTGCCATAATGGTTTGTTCATTTGTAGGCTGTTTAGTTTCTTCTTGCATTTTGTTYTTTGTGCATTTCTTTTTACTTTTCTTTTCTTGGTTTAATGTGTCCTCTTTAGTTTCTCTTGTTATTACTCTGCCTCCTGACTGTTGTTATTGTATTCTTTATCAGTAATCACATCACATGCCTCATCATCCTCATGTAATTCAACTCATCTGTCAATCATTTTTACTGTTCAGACCTGGTTTCCCTGTTTTTTATCTTTGTTCAGTTATTTTTCTGTTCCTGAGTCCAGTCTGTGTGAGAGCAGAGCGCAGGTTACAGGCTGAGAGCGAGCATGCACTCTGCTCAGTCCAGAGCTAAATGTACAAASAGCACATTGATGGGGAAACACAGGCTGATGAAACACCTGTTACTACAACAGAACAAGTGTCAGTACTCACCAGACTCAAGAAAAAAGTTCTGGTACACTGAGGGGTTAAAGTTAGAAGTGGTGGTACAGTGTACTGCTGTGTACCGAACCAGTGAAAGCACTGGTACCCCTACATAAACTTAACAAGTGCTCCTTGTGTGGAATATTACATATGTAAAAGTAGCCTGGAGTGCTTTGTAGGAACTCTTACGTACCTGTTAAGTAACTTTAAGTTCCTTGTACTTGCACCTATATACTCTTGTTAGTACTCTTATAGTCCATGAACGTACCCCTATATACCCTGTTAGTACCCTTATATTCCTTGTATATACACATATATACCCTGTTAGTACCCTTATATTCCTTGTATGTACACCTATATACCCTGTTAGTACCCTTATATTCCTTGTACTTACACCTATATACCCTGTTAGTACCCTTATATTCCTTGTACTTACACCTATATACCCTGTTAGTACCCTTATATTCCTTGTACTTACACCTATATACCCTGTTAGTACACTTATATTCTTTGTACGTGCCCAGTAACCAGCTGGTACATTCCTAGCAATCACTTTTGCACGTTTCAAGTACATACTGTGGATGTCCCAGGTAAGTACCCTGTAGGCAGCCGCCAGTACATACCATGTCATTGGCCCTGTGTGTAATGTGCCAGTACTCCATGTGTACTCTGTAAGCAAMCACTACATACTTGGTAAGGACTCAGTAAATACCCTGATGTCCGCAGTATTAGGTATGATATCCTGTAGGCACCTGGTACATACCCTGACAGTACGTTGTGAGTACCACAAAAGCACCAGGTTTTGTACCCTGACAGTAGTGCTGGGCGGTAGACAAGTTTGTACCAAAAACTGTTTTATATTTTTGTTATGATACAATTTTAACTGATAGATTTATTGCACAACATTAATGTGCTTTTATTGTGAAAAGCCCAAGGGAAGTAGTTTTGTARTGGGGTTGGATTGACAGTTGCACAGAGCCTGAGTCGGTTTGTTAAAGCTTTATTAAATAACACAAAACAATAAAGCTGATTATGATCTTTGCTCAGCCCTCCTCCTTCAGGACTAAAACACATGACTCCTGTCTCCAACAGACAGAGAAGACATGTAGAGGAGCAGCACAGACACATGTAGAGCAGCAGCACAGACACATGTAGAGGAGCAGCACAGACACATGTAGAGGAGCAGCACAGACACATGTAGAGGAGCAGCACAGACACATGT